GAGAGAGAGAGAGAGAGAGAGAGAGAGAGAGAGAGAGAGAGAGAGAGAGAGCTGTGCAATTTTAGGGTAGAGTAATGAAGACTTTAAGAAGGGACAAAAGCAGTTCCTATGACGTTTGAACCGACATAGAGCCACGGTTCTCACAGGAGTGCCCATACAGAATCATACCATCATACGTGTATACGAATGCCATGGCATACTGTACCATAACGTGCCATTAGTTTCTCTGTTCATTCCAAATTACACTATAATTACCCCCACCTTCCAACGCATTTGGACTTGGAGCCCTGCAGCCTGTTGGTCACATACCCCGTTATCATTCTTATGTTCCGCTATCATTCTTATGTTCCGCTACAATTCTTATCTTCCGCTATCATTCTTATGTTCCGCTATCATTTTTGTCTTCCGCTATCATTCTTATCTTTCGCTATAATTCTTATCTTCCGCTACCATTCTTATCTTCCGCTATCATTCTTATCTTCCGCTCTATCAATTGCCATGTATATAAATTTAAAATGTATTAGATTATCTAATTGCAACTGACAGATCTTAGGACATTTTGTCCAAAAGTTTACAACATCTCACGCGACGAACCAGCGAGCCGAACTCGCATCTTTAAAAAAAAAGCAAGTCCAATGAACGTACTGAAAACATAATATTTTGAAGCCTGGAGATATAAAAAGAAATTCACCACTAGTCCCAACAAAAATAAATAACAAACAAACAACAAAATCTTCTTCACAAGAACTTCCTTATTTAAAGAAAAAGAACGATATAGTGTGGAGTAGAAACGATTTTAATTAGTTCGATAATTGAAATAACGAACGTTTTGCTGGGTTCCAACAACAGATACGTAGAAAAATGTTATGCACAAAGCATTTGAAGGGGCCAAATGAAAAACAAGATAATAAGTCCATATTATAAAGAACCCCCCCCCCCCCAACAGAGTACAGTACTAGCTCTAAACGTACTACAGTACCCGTAGAATAATATCCCTTTTAAATCAATCAAATGAAAAAGCAATTCTTTCACAAACTGTTTATGTAAGGCCAAATCAAGTTCCGATCAAATCAAGTTGTTATATAAAACAAAAGGTTTAAAATAGACTAAGTCGTTGTAGGATTCCTCTAACGAAGCTTGTTTTTCACTCGTCCCCTTCATTTATCACGTCATGATGAATAAACACTCAATAGAAACACAAATTTGTTAGCCGTGTATTTTGCCCCCCCTCCCACACACACCTTTTCCCCCTCCATCCCTGTCTCTCGCTATTGACCCGACGTAGAAATATATTCGTCAACTTTTGAATGACTCAATGTGTACCAACTACTGGATGTTTGGGTCGTGTTTTTTATTAGGTTGGTGGGTGGAGGGGGAAGAGGAGCAGTTGGCAAAGAAATGTATGAAGGGAGTGAGGAGAGGTCAAGAGTTTATCTTCTCTTTACTATTTAGATGTTGGATTGTTAAGGTCTATACCTCATGTTTTGGAGCATTTAAAGACACAAAAAA